CTAACTAAAAGACATGGAACTGTAAATTAAACACGATCGTGTGCATGCTATACACGATCGTGTTTAATTTACAGTTCCATGTCTTTTAGTTAGAAAAAACTCGACACTGGGATAAAATTGTGCTTCTGTGATTTTCAATATAATAGATAACATCGTAAAAAATTATTAATAAAAAAGACCCGAAACGACAGTGTGATTTGTGAATTCATGCACGTAAATCGAACAGGATGTCTCATTAATGTGCATATAACTGATGCCGGAGAGTCTTTTACTGAGACTGTTGTTTTCGGTATATATCTTTGGGTTTCATCTAAAAACTTTAGATAAATGCTTAATGTTAATGGTTTCTGTCCATGTATATCAGTCAATTGTTTATTAAACGTTAGAAACATTGTTTTATCTGTTGTATCCGTTTCACACATCTATCTATATACATAAAGAAGAACGTTTGTCTGTTCGTTCGCTATACGTTTCCACCTAAATGTATTGTAACTCGTACATCTTTAAAGCAGAAAAGTCATAAAAGATCATTATTTGAAAATCTAGAACAATGTCGCTTTATGTGCCTATGGCTAGGATGACAGAGTTTTATAAATTGGTTTTCTGTTTATCATTGTTGTGTTTTCTCTTTTTTCTCCTTTTTCTTTAATGATTAAGAGAGTTGTAAAATAAAAAATAGCATCAACTACTTCAACATCTTCATAATGAGTCAATTGTCACTAAATTCTTTTATCATTGATGAGAAGAGTATTGTTGTTAATCATAATGGAGAAAAATGCTATTAATAAGCAGAAACATGTCATTCATTCTTTTCTTGTCTTTTTAACTTAGGAAATTTTAAATAGTTACTACCATGATTGTTGATGAAGGACGTACCTGTTATACTGACTCTGTTCACATACAAATAGCTATACTTCAATCTCAATTATTAAAAGCACGAGATCGATTGAATTATAGCAGTTATTCTTCTAATATTGTCTGGAACGACAATGAACGTCAAACTCTTCTAGATCATGAATCTGTATTATTATCCAAAATCAAAGAGCTTGAGAAAAATATAACTACTGATCAACATACGATAAGAAAAGTAGTATTACTGTGTATATGTAATACATGCAATAAAGAAATCAAATTTGGTATGGAAAGATATCATTGTATTGATTGTCAGGATTACGATATGTGTATGACGTGTTTTAATAAGAATGGTCATAGTCATACAATGTATATACAATGTTATACTAATTGACAATATCAGGATGAAGTATGCTCTGATAAATCTGTCAGTGAAATGATTGATAAAGTATTTCATTGTTATTGGTGTTATACCATGCCTTAGTATAACACCATATTCATCTTGGTGCACATATGAGGATATTTATAAACGGATACGTACACTGGGATCAAGATTGGCACAAGAGTTTGGTTTACAATCCAGAGATTTTGTTAGTACATTCGATAATTCTATTGATCTTCAATGTGGTCTTCATTCCTTCGGTTTTTATTTGGCGAGGCTAAAAATGAATCAGGCAGGCATTTTCCTCTTTTCTTTTCGATTTTTGAAAATTTCCTTTTCTTTTTCAAATTTAGTTAAGAGAACGGAAGAAATGTATCAACGAGCGCCATTACTGATTGATTACGAAATGACGAGTCAAGGAATAAGAGGTGATGATTGGCGAACATGAATAGCCATGGATCATAGCTTTTTGCTTTTTTATGTCTTTTTAGAAGATGATATCAATGATAATTCTTATCAAAAAGTCAAAGATTTAATACCTCAAAAGATCTGGAACAACAGCTTATATTTAAAACATCAAGAATTGACTGATCAGGATGTCAAGTTCATTGCAAACGAATTCAAGCCGAACACAACTTATAAAATACTTGATCTGTTTAATAACAATATAACTGTCGATGGTGTCTTTTATTTGAATGAAATATTAAAAGTTAACAAAACATTGATTGGACTTAATCTTGGTTGTAATGAAATTGGTGATCAAAGTGTACAATTGTTGTTGAATACATTGACACATCGTAATAATAATACACTTGGAGGATTTCACACACAATTGCAACTGAGACTACGTACTTCCCAAGTGTAGTTGAAATTTCAGAGGTGTATAATAGATAGCTTTTACTGAACGTGTCTGCATGCCAGCAGGAGGCTTGTTGAGTAGATTCGTTCTATCGTATACGGACGGAGCAGGTTAATTTCGAAGTGTCTTATCACTTCTCATCTTTGCAACAAAAACGGTAACTTAGTTCGAAACTGTCTAGCATGCATAAAAAGTAGATTTGAAACTCTGTGACTCTTTTTATTTTATCACACAAGTAAAGGAGCAAGAAGTAAGGAGATCATAAGAAAACTGTTAACTGCAGCAACGCTCCACGCTCGTGCATACCTGGAATGAAACACTCGATTTTCATTGTGGAGACCGATCGAATAGTTGTGATGAAGTCGGATCCTCTCGTGTGATCGTTCTACTGAAGATCTTTGAGTGTAAAGTTAAAATTACCACCAATTGATTTTCACACCTTTAGCTTTGGCTGCTTCCATCAAGCTTCGTCCACCTTCACTTGTCTCTGTAAACTGATTTCCACCGATCCAGAACTCCTTTAATGTTGAATTCGATCGCATTCCTTTGGCTAATGCTTTAGCACTAATGTCTGTTAATCGATTATTATGCAGCCATAACTCCTCGATAGTTTTGTTTTGTTCTAACATTTGTCCCAGTGCGTTTCCACATTCATCCGACATTTTACCTCCTGTCATTCTCATAGTCTTTATCGATTGATTTGATTTTAACGCAGACGCAATTAGAACAGTGCTTTCGTTGTCAACAAAATTGTTGTCAAATGTAACATGGTTCAATGTCGTTGTTGATTTGATTAGATCACTTAAGTAAACAGCACTTTGGACAGTCAGATGAGGATTTTCCATCATATAAAGTACAGCAACAGTTCTATTTCTCTTCAGTGCTTCAGTTATTATTTTAAAATCATTGTCATTTATTGTAGTGGACCAAAGGCAGAGTTTTTTAATTTCTTTGTTAACTAGAAGAACATCAGCCACTATCGAACCAGCGACTGGAATTAAACAGCCGCGTGCACCACCGAAAGTTAGTGTCTTTATAAATCGATTTGTTCTTAACGACCTCATAATTATTTCAAAACATTCATTTGAAATAGTCTTTAACAACATGATGAACTGAAATATGTTCTTGTTTAAACTTAAAGCATCGACAATTGCCTTACTCTCATAAACTGATAAATCGTCAATTTCTATAATCAATGCTCTGTGTTTTACCGTATTCATTTTGATTTGTTGTACAAGGTCTTGCACTTCTACTCTTAGTTCGTTTGTACGTGTAGACTGTTGTTGGTTTAACAATAAACTCTTTTCAAGATTTATTGAAAGTTCTGTAACTGAAGATTGTGTAAAGGGTGGTTTTAATAAAACGACGGGGCTATCAGTTACTTCTCTCAATTGAATGATATTAAGACCAGGTGCCGGACGAACTTTTCCAGTAACGACTAGTTCTATACCGGGTAG